TTTTTTCAATTTTAATGATAGGGTTTTCATATAGTCCTTTATTTTTTTCATTGTTGATGAGGAGTTCTTTAATTGGTTTATCAATTGTTTTGTCATCAGAAGATTCCAATTCATCAAGTATGTTTTTATATATTTTATGCAATTGTTGACCCATATAATAAATTTCATAATTTTTCAATTTAAACTTCTTAATTTCTTCTGGCACATCATTATCAATGATTTTTTTAGTGCAAATATGATCATCAATAGCCATGACAATACAATCATTATCTATAATTGGTCCAAATATAATACTTTTATTCTTAATGTCATCTTTATCAAAAATGTGTGTAATATTTATAGAAGTGTCAAGATCAAGATTGTAAGGGTCCATTAACACACAATTATTTACTCCATTTTCTTTATCAAAATATATGACTAACAAAAACTCCTTAAATTTTAATTTTTTTAATATTGCTAATTTCCTTTTTAATTTTGTCAATTTCTCTTGTTTCTTTGCTGATGTCCAATATGGATTCAAATTGATTTCATTGATTTTTTTTTCTAATTTAATTAATTAATCTGGTTTTTTTTTCAAAAGCCATCGTTTAACTAATATGAAAGAAATTCCTCCAGAATTGCTTGTAGAAATGTCAAAAGAGTTTATTAGCCAGATCTTTTTGACTTTGGTCAAGTTAGGATGGGCCCATATGTTATTCTTTGCCATTTTGTTGGGAAAAACTTTTATTACAGTTGATGCTGCAAAGTCTTATTAGAATTCTATCTAGATACCTTTATAATGTGTCATACAATGAATAATTATCAAATTAAAATTTCAAACTATATAATAATAAGACTTAAAAGTAAAATTATATGATCGTTAGACATATCATTTGATTGATCGTTAGACATATCATTTGATTGATCGTTTAATTAAAGCAAGATTTTGTATCAAGAGATTCGAAATCTTATGGTCAATCAAAAATTCATTCCATTTTCCTCAAGATCGAAATTTTAATTCTAATGATATAAAATTGTAACCGATGTAGAACAATGAGTATGCTTTGCTTCAATTTTTACATGATTCAAGATTTATTTATTTTTTAATTACAGTCGGCGCTCGATATAGTGAAGTTTTGGCTAGTACAAATTTGGAAACTATCTGCGTTAATATCCAATCAAA